GACCCTCACTCTGTCAGCACAGCCAGAACCTCCACCTCCCTGGTGTCACACCCCTCCGCACCTGCCCACTCTGGCACCACAGCTGCTCCACGCACTACCATCTCCCCCAAGACCACCAGTAGAGGCACCGGGAGCCCGGGGACACACACCGCCACGGCCTCGGCCACTCCCAACGGGCCACACACTCCTTTCACCTCTCACTTTGCCCCCACGGGTTCTGTCTCCACCACCTCACAGTTCACTTCTCTCACCACCCGAGTTCCCTTGCCCAGCCTCATGTCATCCACGCTGGGGGTGACATCCATCCAAAGTTCTCCCGCTACGAACCTCACTACCAAGCATCCTGGTACCACTGGACTGCTGACCACTCTCTTCCTGACCAGCTCCATCACTGCTCACAGAAGCTCCTCTACCCCCACTGCCGGTTCCTCCACCTCCTCTCTCCTCACATCCGGGCCCAGCTTCTCCAGTAAGTGATGTCTCTACCGCCTACCCAATGACCCTGTGCACTGCATCCTCCTAGCCTTGCCTCTCTATTGGGCCGGGTTCTGGGACACTCCCATGGAGCCCCTCCCTTTTCTTGACTCCTCCCACTGCCTGATGACCACTTGGGCTTCTCCTTCCCCTCCCTGCCTCTGTCCCCCACTCTGTGCTCACATCCCACCTGGCTCACTGCTGTGTGGAGGTGGGCAGGTCTCTTCCTGCCCCTGAAGCCGTCACCTGGCCCGCTCAGCAGGCCGCACAGGGTGTGGCGTACCGTCAGAGAGCCAGCTTAGCCTCTGGCCAGGCGTATGCTCTGGGTGTCCCCAGCTGTGCCTTCCGGGGGTCTGGGTCTCACCCACCCACCGCATGCTTCCCCACTCCTCTGCGCTCTGTCCTGTCCTATGCCTCGTGTTCCCCGACCCTTGGGACCTGTTCTCAACCCTCCTTGACAGGGTGTCAGTTCCTCTCTCCCTCTTCCCCAGCTTCCTCCTCCCTCCTCCCCAAGAACCTCTCCAGAAAACCCCACAAGAGGAACCACCCAAGCCCCTCCCTTGTCAGCACCTGGCTGGAATGCACACCTGGCCTTCCCTATTCATCCCCTCCCCCTGCAGTCCTGGCCTCCCTTTGAGGAGACCCTCTGCTCAGCAGCCTTCCACTGCTGTCCCCTGCGGAGCTCAGAGGAGGTTCGGGCTGGCAGGGATCTGGGGAGCAACTATTCCCACCTTCCCCCAGGCTGCAGAAAGCAAAGCAAAGGCTGGCAGGCCATGCCTCACCCCAGGTGACCACTAAGGGCCGAGCTGGGACTAGCAGCACGCTCTCAGCCCTGCAGCCTCCTCCAGTGTCCACTCTGCCCTCTGCACCCAGGCCAGCTGCACCCACCTTGTCCTCCAGAGATGCCATCCCCTCCCTTTTGGGTGTTCCCTCCACAGAAGCCATTGCCTGGACTGGGCTCCCCGCACAAGCCCCAGGCAGGACTGTTCACAGTGACACATTTCTCCTGGGAAACGGCCTAGGTGCAGGTCCAAGCTCATGGGTCCACTCGGGGACCATAGAGTCATGCAGGAAACTCCCGTATGGTGACACTGATGTCCTCTTCTCGTCCCCCCTGCAGGTTCTGAGCCCAGCAAACCAGACACACCTATGCCCGCAGGTAGGTATCAGCTGGGAGGGGAGGTGGCTGGGGAGGCTGGGGAGCAGCGTGGGAATCTGCCTCATCCCAAGACAGCCCTGGACCGCGGGGGAGACCAGCAGGCTTTATTCCCGGGGTGAGGTCAGACCCGGGGGGCTTGGACAGGAGAGACAGCACAGGTAGGGCCCAGGTAAGTGCCGACAGGCCCCCATGGGGTCCAGGCTCACCTCCTGGCTCCCTGGGCCGGCATCACTCGGTGTCCCACACAGACAGGGCTTGAGGAGCCCAGGCCCAGAGCCCGCAGGTCCCCCAGCCCCACCTCCTGAGGGCCAGGCACAGACCCCGGGGGCGCAGCACCGTCACCTGGCTCTGGGGCTGGCGTCTCACTTCCTGCCTCCACTTCTCAGAGGTCTGCCGAGTGCGGGAGCTGGAGGAGGAGGTCACTTACCAGGGGTGCACAGCCAACGTGACAGTGACCCGCTGCGAGGGTATCTGCGCCTCCTCAGCCAGGTGAGCTGTCACCCGGGCAGTCTCCATCTACTGCTGGGCTCCGGGCTTGGAGCCGCCTTACCCAGCAGAGGCTCCCAGCGGGTGGTCGGGCAAGTCCAGCCGGGATCTCCTGCCCCATCTCAACCACCCTTGCAGCTGACCTCCGACAGATGGGAAGGTCACCAAAGAGGCCCGCTCCGAGGCCCTGCCAGGGTCTGCCTTGTCTGGGTGGTTGGGGAGGAACGGGGATCCTTCCCCGAGGCCGCAGGCTTGACCATGTACCTTCGGCGGATTCTTTAGTTTCAACGCCTACACCAACCAAGTGGACACCCTCTGCAGCTGCTGCCACCCCCTTGGCTCCTACGAGAAGCAGCTGGTACTGCCTTGTCCAGACCCCGGGGCACCGGGCAAGCAGCTGGTGCTCACGCTGCAGGTGTTCAAACGCTGTGTGTGTGGCCCCTGGCGCTGCAGAGACCAGGGCCAGCCCCCCTGGTGAGATTCCCCACCTTGCTGTGCCGGCAGCCCCTTTCCAGGCCTGGCCTCAGAGCCCTGGGTGCAGCACATCTAGGCACCTGCAGGACGGGCCTACCAGGCAGGGGTCCCGCAGACCCTGGCCCACCCCACACAAGCCTTTCGGGACACACCCACCAATCGTCCACACTGCCTCCCAGCCTTAGAAGGAAGCTGCCGGACCTGCCCAACCAGACCCTGGGGCCTGAGGAAGGGCAACGATGGGCAGGGGAGAGGCAGCAAGGAGAGGGGCCGAGCAGTCGAGCAGTCGGGAAGGGAAGTGAGGGCACCAGCCTGCCCACCAACACAGCTCACCCTGGGGAGGGGTGTCCCAGCGCCGTGCTCGACAAGCCCTGTGAACAGAGGACAAATAAACTGGCCCTGGTCAAGGCACGAAGCCACCCTGAGCTCTGCTTATCGTCTCCATGCCCCTTGGCACCCGTGAACCCCAACCCCACCTGCCCCACGAGGCCAGGCGGCATCGGCCAGCACCCACCCCCGCAGGCCCCTCGCCCTCCTTGGGCCCACCTCCAGGGTCCCTCCCTCACTCGGGACTCTCCTGGGAAGCCCTCCTCCCGTGGGATCCTGCTCCCAGTCTGTGGTGTGGTCACCCCTCCCATGAGCTCTGGAGGCTTGTTCCCCAGGAGGAACCCTTAGACCCGCGGCCTCCAGGCGGCAGACTACCCCACACGTCCTGCCCAGAGGAGAGCCAAGGCCGAGCAGGGGCCCAGCAGGATGACCCCACAGGCTCAACCTTACACCCTGAACCCACATGCAGAGCGAAAGGCACATCACCTCCAGCGCACCTCAGCTTCTGCCGTGGCCGGGCCGCCACGCTCTGGAGCAGCGGCCGCCAACTGGTGGTCTGTGAGGTCCGAAAGGTTGGCGACCGCTGCTCTGGAGGACGACCCACCCAAGGCGGCGCCCTGCCGTGTCAGGGGGTCAATGGCCTCCCGCTGCAGGCGGGGGCTTTCCCTCCACCTTCCCGTCCCTCCAGGGACAGCACACACGTTCCTGTCAGGTCCCTTGAAGGAGCACACTTCATGGTGCTCCCTCCTACAATGCACTAGCCCAGGCGTAGCTCAGGGAGGGCGCCGACGGACACAGGAGAACCCCGCGGGCGGGCGGGCCACATGGCAGTGCGGGAGCCGCGCACCGCCAGCAGCTTGAACAGACGCACAAGGAGCATCACTGTGTGGCCGGCCACACCAGCGGTTAAACCTACAAATTAAAGGGAAACTAAGAGGCCACTCCTGTCCCTGCAAGGACCCCTGGACACCGAGGCGCACGCGGAGGTGGTGGTGACGCGGGTCTCTGGGGGACACAGAGCACGCACGCAGGGGCTACACTGACGTTGGTGGGGTGTCTGCAGTGTGGCTGCGCCCGGGCCCAGAGGGCGCCTCCGTGCCTCTGCCTCCACGGGCCCCGCACCACAGCACAGGCTCAGGGGGTCTGAGGCGCCTCCCAGTGCCTGCTGGGAAACTGGGAAGCCAACGAAGCCCTGGCTCCTCCTGGCCCTCGGGTGCCACCTGCCAGGCTGAGCTGCCACCCTCTGCACACCAGCCCCAGCAGAGCAGAGGCCCGGCTGGCGGGGCTCCTGGGGCAGCTCAGGGTGCACACGTGCAGGCTGGCGGCCGGGACAGAGTGACCGCCACCAGCGCTGAGTGATGGGAGTGGCGCAGGGTGACACCCTCCTGTGCCCATGCCAGCAAGGTCTGCAGCACTGGCTGCAACTATGACCCAGGGACAACGGCGCTGACAGCCCAAGGCTACCAAAAGGGAAGAGACCAGCTTGCCTTCTAGAATCTTCTCTGCTGGTCACATTTAACCCTCCAATCACAGATGGGAATCAGTCCCTGGCCACTACCGTGAAGCCCAAAGATGAGTGAGGTCAGCTACACACCCTCTAGAGCCCCCCGTACCCTCCCCACGCGCAGTCAGTCGGCACTGCAAACCCCCTTGGGAACACTGTGCTGGAAGGGAGCTGAACCCAGCGGGATGCACACTGGGGAGGCAGAACAGATGTCCCCTCGTCTAGACCGCAAATCCTGCCCTGGGAGAGCCAGGCTCAGTGCAGCAGCTGGCGTGCTCTGGGCTCCGGCCCCAAGGCCCAAGCACAGGGCCAGGCCACATGGGGACCTCATCACGTAGCTCCTGCCCTGGCGGCTCCCACAACAGGCACATGCCTGGTTCAGGTTGAGCCCCACGACGAAACACTGCCGCCTGCCTCTGAGAGCAGAGGAGCAGCAGCACAGCGGTGGTATACGAGAAAGTTCCAGAAACTATCCACTTCCACTCAAACTTCTAGTTTCCCTTTAATTTGTAGGTTTAACCACAGAACTGTCCTGATTTCTATAAAAACGGATCCCAGGGCCGCCCTCCTGACCTGGCAGGCCGGCTGCAGTGCAGGCTCAGCCTCTGTCCTCACACTGCGCCGTCCCGTCCACCCTGAGGGACGAGGCAGGCGGGCGGGCCTGCAGCTGTGCAGACAGCGGCTGAGCGAGGAGTCGCGGGGCTAGAACTGCTCCGACAGCAGCGCACACAGCCTCTGGGAGACGGTCTCCTTGCTCGTCCGCAGCGTGAGCCGGTACATCTGCAACAGAGAGGCCAGTCAGGGCCCAGGTTCACAGCCGTCACAGCCCAGGCGCCGCCTCGCACTCGCCGCTCAGCCCTGGCCCTCCCGAGGCGCCCAAAGCTCTAGCGCCTCGAGCATATCACACTCTCGGCCACAGCTGAGGGCAGTCTGAGGTGGCAGGTGCTGGTGTGCACGGGAGCTGCTGCTGGGGGGGACAATCCCAGTCCCTGGAGAGTAGGGGCAGCTACTCACCCACTAACCACATGTGGGCCTGTGAGCGCGCTCCTCACTGCGTCCCACCCGCCGTCTGCACAAAGGTCTGCCCAGAGCACCCACAGCAGCCCTGCCCCCACACAGCCCAGGGGTCCTTCAGTAGGAAGGCCACCAGGACTGGCACAGCACTGCCTCGAGGGGAGGCGGAGCTGGCGGCCAGGCTCCGTAGAATTTTCGGGTGGGATGGGAGTGTTGTGCGCAGGGTGGTGGGTTCCCCTGGGCACTCATGACCCCACACTAGGCTCTGGCTCCCCGTGGCAACCACACCCTGAAGCCACGCCGTGGAGGCAGCCATGTCCTCAAGAGGCTGACCTGGGCCTGGAGGTTCGGCTCCAAGCGCAACAAGCACCCGATCTGCGTGGTTCTGGTGTGGATGATCCCGGCTCCCACAAAATTGGCAGGATTCGGATCGACCTCTTCCAGGAGCGCGGAACCAAACCCAATAATCTGTGCAAAGGAAACGGGAAGCTGGGACACCGCGGCTGCGGGTGGACACAGGGCCACCCCGGGAGCACCGCCAACAAGGCCATCACCTTGGCTTTGGTGATTTCTGTGTCCATTGGATGCTTTGCCTTGAAAATGTTCTGCACCTCCTGCTGGGGACTGAGACACAAACTAGCGTCAGACCTTCCGCCGAGGGACCACAGGCCCGGCGCCCCTCCCCCTCCCGCACAGGGGCCGCTCACCTGCTCAGCTGCTTCCAGCGCTGGAAGAAGTCTTGGGAGGCCATTTCCGTGGGCTGGAAAAACTTGTTGAGTGTGATGGGCAACTTGACAGACACGTTCTGAAAGGTTCCGCCGTACCTGCAAGCAGGAGACGTGCTGAGAAGGGCCACAGGCAGCAGGGGACTGCCACTCGCTGGGGGCCAAGCCCTGCCTGCCCATCTCCAGGCACAGAGGGCTGTGGTCCAAGGTGGGGGCTCCCGCCTCAGCGCCTCATCCACCCAGCGCTAGAGGGGCTGTCCTGCCCACAGGGGCAGCATTTGGAGGGTGGCTCGGCCTGGCCTGGCACTGTCACTGAGAGGACCACACACCGCTCGGCCTGCTCCTGGGCACCTGTCCTGCGGTGGCCGTGCTGCTCTGGCCGAGCGCTGCAGGCGACACCCCCGAGGACATCCACCCCCTCACTTTCCCCATCAGGCCATGCCCACAACTGCAAGTCAGTTGAAATTGTGTCAGGTTTTTCCTCTTTTCATGAAAAGAAAATGTGCCTGTTTCCCTCAATTCCACAAAGTATATGATCTTCAGTTCTCTGTGTATTTGATGTTTGAAAATATGCTTTTCCATGCCCGTGGGTGTAGCTCAGGGGTTGAGTGTTGACCCAGGAACCAAGAGGTCACCAGTTCAATTCCCGGTTAGGGCAAATGCCCGGGTAGCAGGCTCAATCCCCTGTGGGGAGCGTGCAGGAGGCAGCTGATGGATGATGTTTCTCTCATCGATGTTTCTTTCCATCTCTATCCCTCTCCCTTTCTCTAAAAGTCAATAAAAAAATATTTTTAAAAAATACATGCTTTTCCAAAAATGTAACTTTACAAACACTCAACAGTGAACTGGTCAACCATACACACTCTATTGTAGCCATTGAAAAATAACACTAGTGAACCAGTAACACCACCAAAAATAAGTGTGGGTTTTTTTGGTAATCAAAACAGTGTGTCTGCAGAAGCACTCACAGCAGAGGAGGCCTGGAGGGACACCCCCCTGCCGCGGCACAGGGGACCTGCTGGCCCTGCCCCAGATGACACGCCAGCAGGCCCCGCAGGGTCTGGACTCACTCGCCCCCACCTCCATCCTCTGTAGCTGGTGTTGCAGCTGAGCAAGGACGAATGGCTCCCGGGGACCCAGCTGCGTGCAGGTGAGCCCCAGCCCTTCAAGCTCCAGGTCAGCGCCAGGGCTGGGACACCCCGCCAGCCAGCAGCGCCCCACCTGGGCTCTCACCTGAACTGGATGTTGAGAACTGGTGCCTCGGTGAAGTCCGACACGCACTCGATGTTGACAACCTGCTGCACCTGCGCGCCCCCGTCCACTGTCGGGTCCACGGGCTTGGTCTGCAGGCTCAGGTGTGTGCGTGTCAAGGCCATTTCAACTAACAAAGTGGCTCCGGGCCAAACCAGCCTGCGCTCCCCGGGCCCGGGGTGCCCAGCGATAAGAGACCTTCTAGAAGGGGCTCAGAAGAGTGGTGCTCACGCTGCTGATCTTGGACGAAACCTTTAGTAGAGTTGACCCTACGTACAAGTATTTTTAAAGACTTCTGAAACGCCGCCTTGACAGGCTACATTTAAAATGTACTTGTCTCGAGATGAAAGTGAGCAGGTAGCCGCCCCTCTGGCCAAGCCGGGCCTTGCTCACCACCACCATGCGGCCAGCCCTCCTGGAGGGAGCACGGTGGACACTAAGGTGACGCCATACTGGCCGGAAGAGCTCCCACATTGCTGACTTTCTGGGGGGATAAGCCTCCATCTCAACAGGCACCAGCTCACCCAGCAAGTGGTGGGCCCGCTGTGTCCGGCGGCAGCAGCCCCGGAGACCCGCAGAGAAGGACACCAGAGCTCAGAGGGACTAACAATGTCACAGGAGAGCAAAGCAAGTGAGCCAGGAGTAGACGCTGCCTGTCGAGGGGGAGCATCCCCTGAGATGAGGGCAGCACCGCGAATGTCTTGTTACTCTGACTTTTTTAAACCCTTGCTCACAACCCTCCGCTCCCCCCAGGGGCTGCTGGCAGGGGCAGGGGCAGGGGCAGGCGGAACCAAGGATATTGGCCTGAAGGTCATCTGAGCAGATCAGCGTTGGAGTGAAGTTTAAGAACTGCGTGGAGGTCTTATTCCCATAGAATATAAACATGCGGCCTAGAAGGAAACAGTCCATCTCAAACACGTTTCACAACCCTGAGGAGGAACAGAAAGACCAAGAACCCCACCCCCAATGGAGTCCCAGCCCCGTGCTGGGCTCCCCCTGCCCCACAGCCTGCGCCGTCGCCCCCTGCAGGGACCCGGGCGCCCCCACAGCAGGCGTCCTCACCACTGCAGGTGCCTGGACTCGCGTGACAGACATTTAAGACGCTGCCCTTAGGACAGAGATCCTACACGAATCTCTGCACACATTTTTATACCCTCTGAGTTCCGAATAGAAAGTGAGCTGCAAACCCCCAAAAGAGACAGCAGTTCATCATCGCTCCTCCCACAACTTAAAAATCAACAGTCCAGCCAAAACCGGTTTGGCTCAGTGGATAGAGCATCAGCCTGCGGACTGAAGGGGCCCAGGTTCGATTCCGGTCAAGGGCATGTACCTGAGTTGCAGGCACATCCCCAGTGGGGGCTGTGCCGGAGGAGGCTGATCAATGTTTCTCTCATCGATGTTTCTGACTATCTCTCTCCCTTTGTTCTATTCCGGTCAAGGTCATGGACCTTGGTTGCGGGCACATCCCCAGCGGGAGATGTGCAGGAGGCGGCTGATCGATGTTTCTCTCTCATCGATGTTTCTGCCTCTCTATCTCTCTCCCTTCCTCTCTGTGAAAAATCAATAAAATATATTTTAAAAAAAAAAATCAACAGTCCAGCCCGGCCGATGTGGCTCAGTGGTTGAGCGTCGATCTATGAACCAGGAGGGCAGGGTTCAATTCCCGGTCAGGGCACATGCCTGGGTTTCAGGCTCAATCCCCAGTGGGGGGCATGCAAGAGGCAGCCGATCCATGGTTCTCTCTCATCCTTGATGTTTTTCTCTCTCAATCCGTCTCCCTTCCTCTCTGTAATCAATAAAAATATACATATTTTTGAAAATCAACAACCCAAACCCAGGGAGGCCCCTGAGGCCATTTCACACCTGAATCGAAGCAAGAATAAAATGTCACCATCCATGCTCACTGCGGTGTCAGCGTGAGTCCTGGCAACCCCCCAGGTCCCTGGAGTGCATGCTGGTTCTCTCCTTTTTCTCATACTTTCGCTTGTTTTTACCACCTTCACATCTCTAAGTGCACAGCTCAGGCATGAGACATGCACGCTGTGGTGCAGCTGTGACCGCCACCTTCTCCAGAACTTGCCATCCTCCCAAATGGACACTTAGTGCCCATTAAACACTCACTCCCCGTCCCTTCCCGAGCCCATCACCCACCACCCGCTTCCTGTCTCTCTGGATCTGACCCCGCTGAGTGGGTCACACAGGGCCTGTCCCTCTGGGTCTGGATGACTCGCTCAGCACAATGTTCATGGTCCGGCCCTATAGCAGGTGTCAGGGCCCCTTCCCCTTTAAGTCAGAGTGAGACTCCGTGTGTGGAGGGACCACTCGCTGTGTATCCCCCTCCGGCCCGGGCACTCAGCTGCCTCCATGTTTTAGCTACTGTGACTAATGCTGCTGTGAGCGTGGGGTACACGTATCTTGTCAAGACCCTGCTTTCAAATTTTTGGGGGGTGTACCCAAGAGTGGAACTGCTGGGTTATGTGGAAATTCTATTTAATTGGGTTTTCTCTTTTTTAATCCTCATTGGAGGATATGTTTATTGATTTTTAGAGAGAGGGTTAGAGAGAGAAAAACATTGATCGGTCGTCTCCTGTACGCACCCACCTGGGGATCCAACCCGAAACCTGGCCGGGACTCAAGCCCACAACCTGTCTCTGGGTGTACAGGACGACGCTCCAACAGCTGAGCCACCCGGCTGGGGACCCTGTTGAATTTTGGATCCCGCAGCGGGTGCAGTGGCTCCCTCTCCTGTCCTGGCACTGGCTGTCCTGGCCCTGGGACAGGGGCCACTCTGACGGGCATGAGCTGGGGACTCCCGGCGGCTCTGACTGCATTTCCCTGATGACTAGCGACGTGGAGCACCTGTCCCTGTGCCTTTGGCCGCCCACACGCCCCCTGAGAGAAATGTCTGGTCCCTGCCCGACCTTTCCCGAGGCTGCTTGTCTGTTTGTTGCTGAGCTGAAGCACCTACATATTCTCAACCCAAACCTTATCAGACATGTGACTTGGAAAGATTTCCTCCCCATCATCTCTGAGAGAAGTTTTCATTAGGTGATCAAAACCCATACCTAAATTCTGCCGGAATTCAGACTTGAGTCCAATCTGAAGCAGCTGGTTTTCAAACAACACCCCGTTGTTTTTACAGACAAACCTGGGGAAAAGGGACAGTATGTGGGTCGCTCAGCACACACACCAAGATTTGCTCTCACGGAGGGTTCAGTGGGCACTGAGGCCAGAAGGACGGAGGGACAGAGGGAGGGACAGCAGACAATATTCCCAGGGACCCATGCAGAGCGCCCTCCGGAGAAGGAACGTGAGCAGGCGGCAGGGACGCCGCAGCGGGAGTGAGCCCCGGAGACAGGCCTCTGCCTCCCTCTGCTCAACCATCCCCGCTGCTCCTCCCGCAGGTCCCAGGGTCACACCGAGGCTGGGCCACAGCTCCGCCCGATGGACAGCCAGTACCAACCTCCATCCAGGGACGACCCTCAGCATCCCGAGCTATGGGAACGCAGGCCGCCCCCCTCCACAGCATGGCCCACTCCTCCCCCTCCCTCCCCCCTCCTCAAGGCAGGGTTACTTGGCACTGCACAGGAGGGCCAAGGTTTTGCTCACTACATGGTATCGACACGACACAGTATCAGGGGAATAAAACAACGTGAGTGTTAGTTCACTGGTGCGCATCCCCGAGGAGCTCCAGGGCTCCGGCCTCCTCTAACGTAAACCCGTCACACTGTGAGCTGGTGACCACAGCAAGCCCGCCCAGCTCTGCAGGCCCTCACCCGCTGCGAGGGCCCTGGCAGGAAGGACCTCTGCCCGCTCCGCCCTGCTCACCGGGCCCGGGTCAGGGGTCGGCGGCAGACAGGGTCCTATCTTCAGGAAGCAGGAGATCAACTACCTTGCAAAGTTGTCCTCGGAGCCAGGAGCAAGAGGCGCGACCGCAGAGGGCGAGTCGGAGAACACGTCCACGAGCAGCCCGCCGGAGGAGGGGGGCGGGCCTGCGGGCGCGGGGGGCACAGCCCCCAGACCCAGGAGGTCTGCCGACGGAGAAGGCGTAGACTGGAAAACAGGAAAGAAGAGGGTCAGCACGGAGCCCTCTGGGCACTCAGAGGCCAGCTGGGCAGCGCCACGCCCTCCCACGGCGGCCACTGGGCTGTGTGGTGCGGGCAGATAGGTGCAGGCTGTGGCCGCTTCTGGGATGCGACTGCCCCAGACTCAGGCCTGAGACCATCACATGGTGCAGACGAGTCCCACCTCACATAACAGAAGTACCCCACCTTTTCCCACAAAGTCATCTGAGTGAAAACAACTCTGGAAAAATGTCCTGAAAGAGATCAATAGCAAGGTGCCCGCTGGAGAGGAGCCGCCGCGTGCCCAGGCCACCGTTATGCTGCTGTCTCCGGGAGAAGGTACAGCAAAGCGACAGAACAAACCTTTAAGAAAATGCTCTGAACCGTGACAAAGACTAACAAAACCGCCCTGCGCTCTCACACTGATTCACGGGCCTGGGTGAGGGTCTCCCATGCTCACTCGCGGGAGCTCGCCCTGCGACCTGCACCTCTGGGTGTCCGCCCGCCAAATGTGTGGGGTTCCGATGGTCGACGTCACCGGCAAGAAGCAGGGATGTGAGCCACTGCGTCCTGGCCACTCGTCTTGTGTGACCAGAATGTCCCACTGGACACTCAGAGGTCAAATCCGTTTGTCAGGACCTGAGACCACATCCTGAGGCATTGCCTGCTGTCGCTCTCGTTCTGCTCGGGTTTAACAGACTCATCCTTCTGGGAGCACGGCGGCCGAGAGCTGCAGGAGGACGGAGCCGTTCCATCTGCAGCACGTGGGCGCGCCGCCAGCACTGGCCTCGCCCACCTCCCGCCGCCTGGCACAGCCACACTCAGCACTCACGCGTGGCAATCGATGTTTGCATAAACACTGCTCGTTTCTCTTTCATGTCAGGTTAGAGCCGGGCCACACTTGTACAGAACTGCCTGTGGGGCGGGTGGCAAACACGTGAATTCTGCTTGGAGGAGGAGGAAGCTACAAAACGCACATCCCGCAGAGTGCGCATGGGGTGGCTCAGGTGTGAGGGCTCCCGGCCGAGGGCACAGACTGGATTCCTCGCTCGGAGCAGCTGTCAAGAGCATGAGAAAGCTCTTCAGTGCAGGGAGGTCTGGATGGAACGGCCACCCTCCCGGCACCTGTGATAGCTGCTGCCACGCTGTGCCCCCAGGAGGGGACGGGCAGAGGGGGCAGCCTGGCGCTGGGCTGAGAACCACACACCTGCAGACAGAATGGGGCCTCCCCCTCTGCCAGCTGCTGTAGGATTTCACCACTGGTTCCTCCAAACAGCGCAGGGCTTTCCCAGTAGAAACCCCTCCGTCCAATTAAGTCACACATAGTCCACAGAGTCCGCAACAGACATAAGCAAGGCGTCGTGTGGGAGGCCCAGGGCACGCAGGGACCACAGCCTTTTCTCCGCGTCTCCTTAGGACGGGGAGACCCCAGGGAGCCCATCTGGCCCAGTCTGCACCAGTCACTCCTGCTCACTCTGACAGTAAAGAATTACAACAGCAAAAAGCAGCCCCACGGCCCTCACCAGGTGGCTCAGTTGGGTGGAGCATCGTCCCATAACCAAAAAGTTATGGGTTCGCTCTCCAGTGCGACGGGCACAGGAGGCAACCGATCGATGTTTCTCTTTCACATTGATGTTTCTCTCTCCCTTCCCTCCCTCTAAAATCAATAAAAATATATCCTGGGATGAGAATAAAAACAAACAAATACATAAAGTAAAATGCACTGAACTGACCAGGAAGAGGCCCTCTGCCCCCCGACCCCCGTGCATATTACATCTTGTCAGGGTTCCGTTTTCAAAGTGGAGCTCACTGCTAACTCCCTGGGATTCCCATACGCACCAAGCATCGAGCCTAGACCCCAGGCCGCTGCATCCTGGGCGTTAGCTGGGCAAACAGTGTGGCCGAAAGGCACATGCACATCTCAAAAGTCAAGTAAGAAAGACCCGTGACAATGGTCCATGCGGTCAAGCCTATTTCCTGTGCTGCCTCGAGCACTCCGCCCGCAGAGCTGCTGGACAGAAAGGAGGCACCTGCTCCCCCACAGCCCACCTTCCTTCGCGGTTCTCCTGGACGGCAGCCGGAAGGAGTCCCTCGCTCCACCCTCTGCGCACCCCACCCACACCCCACCTTCACAGTGAGTCTTCCTTCAGACACAGCCCCTCTGTGCAGGCAGGGCTGCTGCTGTCTCTACGGGAACCGCAGCTCATCAGCAAACCCGCGTGGGAACCACCACAAACCACACCACTGAGGATCCAGGCCATCGATGTCTCTGGCAGCAGGACGACCTCTGTGACCCCTTCCCAAGCGGCGTCAGGAGCCCTGCGCTGCCCTAGGTTCGATTCACTCCGCGGCCCCAGGACAAGGTCAAAGGCACGGGTTGAAGAGAAGCCCATGGGAGGGACGAGCACCAGGAGACAAAGCACGCGTTCATCATTCACTCCAAAGCCAACGCGCCCTGACACTCAGACTCCTCGCCACAGAGCAGGGGACAGGCGTCCGGAGAGAAGGCAGCAGGCCCGGGTGAGGGGCCTGACAGGTCTGCAGGCCTCGCTCTTGGTGTCCTCGGCCTGAGGGGCTCACAAGCGGAGGGGGTCACACGAGGGCCCTGCCAGGAGCACCAGGCCCGGACACAAGCACACTCCTGACCCGCACGACACGGGCAGCGAGTGCCCCCTCACAAAGGCCACCGGGCGTGGCCAGCGGCACTGCTCCCAGCACTGAGCGCCTCGGGGAGGGAGCAGAGCTCGCCAGGCTCCCTTTCATCTGGGCAGGCGGATGCTGGGTCCTGGGGGCCGGCTGCTGCCGAGGGGACCGCTGTGGGGCCAGGTTGGGGTGCCCGCTCTCCGCGAGCCCCAGTCCAGAGCCGACAGCAAGGAAACACACCCCTCCCACCACACCCCTCCCACCGCGGCATCGCCACCCGGCCAACATGAAAGGACACCCTTCTGTGCATGTGCGAGGCTCCCACCACGTCCTACGTAGCAGGAGCGGACTCGAGTCCAATCCAACCGGGAAACCTCCAAGAACAGCACGGCCAGGCCCATCTTAAACAGCAGGTTTAGGCAGAAGGCCTCAGCTGTGGGGCCACCACCAGGCTTCCGGCACACTTTCCTGTTTAACAAAGCTGCTCCCGGCAGACAAAGGCTATGCTGGCCCGAATCTCAGGGCCGGGCAGCACGGGAGCTGGGGCAGGTGGTGCGTCAGGGAGGGACCCACCGTGGCACTGGCCGGGGCCGGCTCGGGGCCCCCGTTGATGTCGGGGCCACGCTCCCGCTTGCCCTCCTCCAAGCCCATCACGGTGCCCGGGCCCTTCTTCTTCTTGAGCTTGGCCAGGATGGACGACTCGCGCTCCGGGAACGGGTGCAGGTACTCCACGGCCCGCTGCTGCAGCTCCGCGTCGGCGTTCCTCAGCTGGCTGTCGCTGCGCAGCACGTCCTGGATGGTGGGCTTCACCTCCGGGAACAGGTTCACGAACTTGATGTAGGTGGACAGCAGCAAGGCCCGCGTGGGGACGCTGCACAGGTGGAACTTGGAGTGCAGCAGGTTGAACTGCACCAGGGGGCTGGCGGGAAGGAGAGAGACGGCGGGCGCCTGAGCCCGAGGGTCCCCAGGGGGGGCAGGGGCGGTC